TGCATTGCTAGGATGCAAGTTTTCAATACCTATGGAAATGCAAGGAATATTTTGAAAAGGTGGTTACTTTACTCTTAAATAACTCTCAAATGAGTTCATCCTTCCGAAGTTGAATTATAGAAATAAACATAAGTAAATAGGTTTGAAAATACCAGGTGCCCCGTATAATACTAGCAACAAATGCTGATGGTCCTGGGCAAGCACTAGCTGAAGAATTAGCTCGTCGCCTTGGTAAAGAAAGGTCCTTTATCAAAATCCTTTTCAGTGTTATTTGTTTTGCTCTTTTTTGTGACTAAAGTATGCATGCTTGATTTGCGACTTGGCCATGTTTCATATTCTTGCATTTTATTCAAAATGTCAAATTCTTTTCTGTTTTAAATGTATTAAGTAAAACAGATGCTGGAGGGTTAAATGGCCAAAGAAAAGCACTACCGAGGTTTGCAAAGATGCTAATGAGGTGAGATGCTTCGCTGTTGCGCTACTGTGTTATGTTTTCACCCTGTATTTCTGGGTGGGCTGCCTGCAATCATCTTTTATTTTGTATATTGATTCATACTAACAGATTGCTTAACTTGCATGTGTTACACGTTGAAATGGTGTAATCGTTATAATTTCAGTATTGCCCTCCCTTGTGGTCATAAAGTTTTTCTTTAAGTTCTGTCCAGGTGCTAAACATTTTTGGAGAACATGTGCTGAAGGAAGTTATAGATAAAGCGGAAATGTTTCCCATACGGGGTCTATTAAACTTCAGCAACTTTTTCCCTGATATCACTGATTATTATCATTGTATTCAAGGGTTTGAATTGGGTGTCTCAACAGGTTGGAGAGCTCTGGATGATTTGTATAATGTAAGTTCTGTTAAACTTTGTATTTTCAAAATTTTTTAAATTTTGTGCACAAAAACAATTTTTTTTTTCATATTTTAATTGGCTTTTGCAGTCTATGACTCTATGTTTGGAGCTAGGTATTGGTTAAATCTATTTTTGTCAAATTTAGTAGATCGAAATATGAATTTTTAGGAAAATTCTGTAATTGTAATGGTATACAAACATTTGTTTTATTCATTTAATTTAAGGATTAATTAGTATTCATATGGCATGGTATGCCCACTAGTGGATTGTTGATGGTTCAAAACACTTGTCTTTGCAGTTAATTGAGTTTTGTTAAGCTTTGTTAATGCATATTAATTTCTAGGAAACTATATTTAGGATTTAGAATCCTGTTTCTTCCATACCGATTAGTTGTTCTCTTTGAACATGTAAATAACAGAAGGTTAATTTAATTGGTGATACTAAATTTCTAAGCATTTTGATCAATGATTTGTTATTCTTGGTTTTATACATATAGAAGTTTGAAATATTTCTCTTTCATTTATGTTAAAGGTGCAGTAATACCTGAGATGGATTTATCTTGATTTATGATTCAAGGGGGAAATTTGGTTAATTTAAAATCCAATCTACCTCAGGAAAGATGAGACCTTAGGTTTGAAAAAGCAAGGTTCGTGTCGTTGCGCTATTTTTTCCTGAGCAAACACTGTCAATGAGGTCTATATTGTTGAGTTAGTGGAACTTTTTGAAATCTACCTTTTGATTTTAACGAAATAACTCCCAACTTGCAGGCTATTTGGTTGGCTAAAAAAAGAATGTAGTATAAAAAAGAATATTTTGGAGTTGTTTGAATGAGTGTAAAGTAAATGCTGGTTAGTATTTTTTTTTGTTTGGTTTGAAGTAAAATGAATGTAGTGTAAAGTCCAAAGATGGTGGCGGCCGACGAGTGCTGGTGGTGGTGGTTGGAGGCGGCGGTCGACAACCGATGACGGTGGTGTTGGCCGGGGGCTGTAGCGGGAGGTGTGCGTCGGCGGTGGCCGACGGCAGTCAAGCGAGCTTGTTTGCGGTGTAAACGATTTTAGCTTAAACTGAGCAAGTTTAGTTTACCTTAAAACAAACTAAAATTATTTACACTACATTTATTTTACTTTGCATTCCTTTTCCAACCAAACAACAATATTTTTAAAACCCCTGCATTTGGAATATTTTATACTCATTTTACTTCCAACTTCTAACCAAATAGTCACTTAGTCTAAAAGCAAACTGGTCATGGCTGGCTAAAATGTTTCCATTATCAAGAATCATTAGTGTAATGCCCTCTGCAGTACCGTTTTGGTAAATTTATGCTTGATTGTGTCGTGTGGTTGGGGTACCATGGAAAGGAATTGGAGCATGTTAATTGGATTTCTAATTTGCCTTTCTAACTTTTAATTGGAAATAGTTTGAATTTGGATTAAAATTCTGCATGACTGTGCAACTAGAGTGCTAAAGTATACTTTAATATGCCACATGAAACCTTATGAACTTCGGATGTTACCTTGGTTTTGACCATCAGACTCTATACTCTCTTATTATAATCAAGAAAGTTAGACAAATGCAAATGATGGCCAGAACATGTGGAAATGAGCCAAAATTCATGATTATTGGGACTGTTATTTAAGCAAAAATGTTTTATGTTATTTTAAGGTTGTTGTTGAACTTTTTCTTTTATTGCATTGGGCAGATTGTACCTGGAGAATTGACTGTCATAACAGGTGTTCCTAATTCTGGCAAGAGTGAGTGGATTGATGCGTTATTGTGCAATATCAATGAAAGATGTGGTTGGACATTTGCTCTCTGTTCTATGGAGAACAAGGTCAGATAAATTACCGTATTGATCTTCCTATTTATCAGTGTGATTTTTGTATGAATATATTTCATTGGTCTTTAGGTTGAAGATCATGCTAGAAAGCTTTTGGAAAAACATATTAAGAAGCCGTTCTTCAATTCAAGGTAAAGTTAGCTAAAATTGGTTCTCATCCTCCTGGGTTAATGTCTGTTGACAGTATATTTCCCCGCCAAAACTTTTTTTCGGTCTTTCGGTTGTTACATGTCTAGTTCTATCATTTATGCGGCTATAGTTATGGACTTTGATCATTGAGTCGAGTTTGACAGTTGTGAAATAGCTACTAACTAGTATACTATCAGTATATCACCAATAATTTGGTTGATGGGTATTGCCTTTTACCTCCAAAGTTGAGGTTTAAGGTTCAAATTAAAAAAAGAAGAAGAAAAAACTAGTTTGCTGATTCTTTTGAGACGCATCTTCCTATACTTTTTTCTATTTTATTTTATGCTTTTTGAGAAACTTGTTTGTTAATTTGTGTTGCTTGATGTGAAATCTGTTGCTTTCTTGATCATTGTTGCGTTTTATCTTAAATTTTTTAAGTCATCTAGATTTCCAATGCACCATTCCACTCAAAAAGTCTTTGGATAGCATTTGAATCAGTATGATTCTTATGGTTTAGTAAATTTTTTGGACAACTTCCTATTTTAGTTATCTTGTTGGCCACAAGCTTTTAAAGAAATAGATAAAGCCTTTACGTTATCATGATAGTAGGTTAGAACTGTGAGTCTGTGATAGACAATTTCCGTGACAGAAAGCAAAGCTTGGTTTTCACGTGTTCTGATGTTGATAGGTTTTGTTTAGAGTTGTCCTCTTTTGATTCTAATTGGAATGGATAAATTGTGTGTAGTTCACTTAAAAATGTTGAAGTATGCACAACAAAAAAGTATCTGTGCTGATTTCAAGAATTATCTTCCCCTTTCTAAACATACGTAGGTCAGGCTGAGCTGGCTTCTTTTTACCTTTCACTTCTGGTAATGCAATTATATTTATGTTTTAAATATGCTTTCCAAAAATAGAGCGGATCATTTGAGTTTATGTAAGAATTTTAATCATTATTTTTAGCGACTCCTAGAACAATCTCTTATAAATAGGGTGATAAAAAATTTATATATTTTTTATTCATAGAGATCTACCTTATAATAACTAACTGTTTGTTATTTTAATTCTGCTTTAAATAAGAGTATCTATGTCCATTCATCATTTGTTAGTTTTACATTGGTACATTTAAGGTAGTATCTAATTTAGCCATACGAGATGCTAGCTTTTGCCAGGAAATTGAGATGTCTGGGTCTGCAATTGGTGCTACCTGCTCTTGCCTCGCCATCCAAGAGTATTAAAGGTATAAAAAAAAATCAAAGAGACTAAAGATATAGAAATCTACTAAATCGGCATTAACACCAAAGATATTTGGCCATCAATTTTCTGTGATTTACCTCACTTCAGCCTGAAATGTGTGATGTCAGCTAATTGAATTTCTCTAATCGATGTGAATTGAGATTTTGGGGTCTGCAGTTGAGGTGCTACCTGATTTTACGTCACCATCCAAGAGGAATAAATGCAATAGGGAAAAACAAAAAAGAGACGAAAGACAAAAAAATATGACTAGATGGACATTGAGTGCCCAATATGTTTGGGCAGCACAATGTATTGGGCTTTGTCTAGTTTGCCATTGTCTACTCACCATTTTCAACTGGTTATGCGTTGTAGTGATATAGTGATAGGAAGTGCTTGTAGAAATTTACGAAAAGTTTTGACTGAAATCTGATTTAAAAAAATTTCAGAAAACCAGCAACAAGAAAATCAGGAATAGAACAAACAAGAACAAAATCCAATTATGTTTCTTTCCATTGTTCACAAGAAATTGGTAAGTTTTAGTTAAATGCTAAAATGAAAAACAAATACAATTCTTTCAATATAGATTCTTGAGTGTGACAGAGGTGATGTTAAAACCACTGGAGCTGAAAGGGGCATGACAGGGAGGAGGGATCAAGGAAGTGCTGATAAAATGGAAGAACCTTCCCGATTATGATTTCACATGGGAGCCATATAAGAGATTAAAGCATGGTTTCCGTCTTTCCACCTTAACAAAGTGGGTCTTTGGGAGGAAGGTAATGAGTCAGAATAAATGTACCTTTTTAGGGTCTGCAGTTGAGGTGCTAGTTTAGCCATACGAGATGCTAGCTTTTGCCAGGAAATTGAGATGTCTGGGTCTGCAATTGGTGCTACCTGCTCTTGCCTCGCCATCCAAGAGTATTAAAGGTATAAAAACAAATCAAAGAGACTAAAGATATAGAAATCAACTAGATCGACATTAACACCCAAGATATTTGGCCATCAATTTTCTGTGATTTACCTCACTTCAGCCTG